AAAACAAAGGTTCGCTCTTTGGAGCATATCGATTTATTAAGCCGTGTCTGCCAACTGCTCAACAAACCATGGCCAGACTTCCTCTGCTTAGGCCTGGACCCTGAAAACGGGGAAAGACAGACTTTTTATACATTAAAAACAATTAATGATATGAGACCAATTAGTTAAAAGGAAGCAACATAATTTTTAGGTAATCTGATTTCTAATTGGAGGAAATATTAGGGACTTTGCAAGTTGGGAGGGGCGAAGTGAACAGGTACAATCTCCTGACATCAGAAAAAGAGGCATCCCCCTCCCTGAGCATTTGTGAACAATCAAAGGAATGTGGAAACAATGAGTGATCAATCTATCCAGGCCAGTTTTCAGGTGACACATATGGGTTGCTTTGAGATGTAAACCTGTGAGAAAATTCTTTGTACCAGTCTTTGGGTTTGACTGGATTCCTGGTCAGCTTAACTGAGGTTTTTGGTTAAGGGTCTCTTAGCGAGTAGAGGTTGTCCAGTGTCCCGACCAAATCAGAGCAAGGTTTGAACAATACAACAGTAAGGTTTCCTCCCAATTCCCACAACTGAATAAAGTTTTCTCATAGGACAGAAATGGACTAGAAATGGACAATTATAGACTAGAGACATAATTGAATAGAAAGGGAGCTGAGTCACAAGATGGTGTCAGTGTGGTTCACTCATTTCCCACAATTAGCCTCTTGCTGTCTTAATCCCCTCAATTCCCTCAGATGATAGATGTATTGTTCATGTCCAGAGTTGCTTCCTTCTCTGACCTAATACTCCTCACCTTCAGCATTATTCTTCTTCCTATCACTCCCCATAATATGGCCATTTACAGTTTTCTCCGGGAACTTTTCCCTTCCCCACTATTTTCATTTTAAAGTTCCTTCAAATCAGCACCAAAAGATAGCAAGAAGCTATCTTAAACCATTGCCCCAAAGCCACATTCTGTTCACTGACACCATCTGTATCCCATCATTTTCTTTTTGTTTTAAATTTTGAACTTCCAGTCAGAAGAACTAACTATATTCATTAGCTTTCCATTTCCTTTCTAGGATTTCTTAATCTTTGTAAATCTGTTCCGGAGTTTTCCTGGCAGTATCATTTGTCACCATAGAAATCCCCAGAAGTGGGTTGTGCTTCATGGATTTGTTGAAGCTCTGCAAGCTCCAGGAATACCACCCACCTCATGATCAACTGTCTCTGGGATAGTAATAGCTCCCTCCATCACTGGGGACTGCACCCCTGCCACAACACCTCTCCCACTCCTGGGAGTGTCCTCAAGGACACTGGTGCCTGGGAACCTTCGTTACCACTCTGTGGAATGCAGTCTTATCTGCCCCATTTGAGAATTCCCCAGGCATCGTGTCACTGGTGGTTCAGAGGTTTTATTGTTCCTCTGCTGTTACCATATTCTTACCTGTCTCCTTTCCATTCAGCTGGAAACTTTTACATCCTAGATTCTTTCTTGGATCGACTTTTTTCCTTCCTATCAGAAAGGTCTCCACCTTTGCCTGCAAGCTGGCAGATGGAGAGGTATTCCTCAAGCCCTTTCATCTTCCCTTCAAGCAGCAATACCTGCTTTCATCGCATCCCCATCTAGTTGGGGATTTTCCCTAACAGAAAGAAGAAAGATAAGAAATAATCCTGTCTGCTCACTGACATAATTCTTTCCCTTTTCATGCCTCTTGAATGAGAGGATTACAGTTTTAATCATTTAAGTTACCTCTGAAAACTCCTACTGGTGATGGGAAGTGGAGTCTTTTAGGGAGCTTGCCTCAGTCAAGGCAAAAGGATTTATTTAGCACCAGCTCTGTGCCAGGCTCTGTGCCAGAGGCTGAGGAAGCAAAGAAAAACGAAGCGGGTCCTTGCTCTCAAAGAACTTCCGTTCTGTTGGAGGACAGTTGGTGAAAGCTTGATTTGCTAAGTGACACATGTTGTGCACCTGCCAGCTCTGCCTGCCAGTTGTGGGAAGTTGTACAGGGTGACCCCAAAGTCCTAATGCAGTGTTAGACATTAAGAGTTTAAAACTGCACTAAGACTTTCGGGACACACTGTATAGTTACATCTCCATCTGTATTCACTTATGTACACCAATATGCATAGAGTTCTGGACTTGGAGTCAGGAAGACCTGAGATTGAATCCTGCTTCAGACACTTACTAACTTTGTGATCATGGGCAAGTCACTCATTCCTCTGTGCCTTAGTTTCTTCATCTATAAAATTGGGATAATTATAGCACCTACCTCCATGAGTTGTGAGGATCAAGTGAGGTAACATATATAAGGTGTTTTGCAAAACTTAAAGCACTATAGAAATGCATGCTGTTAGGTAGTCATTTTATCATGTGTAGATAAGTATATATGAATTTTAACTTCATCTTCTAAAATGAACTCAGGTACATTGACAAAAAAAAAACAAAAAAACCACAACAAACCCCACCCCCCCCGGCCAAAAAAGAAAAAAACAAACCTGTAACTGTGCTCTCTGTCTCTCTGTTTCTCTCTGTGTGTATCTCTGTCTGTCTGGCTGGTTCTGGCTCTTTCTCACTCCTTCCTTCCCTCTCCAAATATTACCACTGAATTCACTATTTGATCTTTAATGATAAAGCTACCTGGTCCCCAAACAATCAATCACAACAATCGACAAAACAATTAATTTAATGAAAAATCAACCTCCCCACCTATATGGCCATATGTAATCATCCTGCCTCTTCTAATTTGCCTACATTATTAGATAGATATTATCTCATGGAATTTAAAGAAGCCCTGTTATTCTTTAATCCTCTTCGTTTTGTTGCCATTTCTTTGCAGCTGAAAGCACTGATTGATGGAGGGAATTTCAAGTGATTCTGGTGGCACCCACCTACACATTTTTGTCTATGACTCATAATTCAGAAATATTTTTATGCGGATATTTATATTTTTAAAATGCTACAAATAAACACTTTAGGTTTCTCTTAAGATCCATGCTGAGAGTTAATAACATCTACAACTTCCAAACTATCCCCAAATGTCATACTTTAAACTTCTACATAATGCATAAGGAGAAACATGGTAATTACTATAAATACAAATGACCATGCTCTGTATGGATGGAAATGAAGGGATGGAAACAAAGTCATTAATGTCTAGGAATGAATTTTCAAGTGTACTCTAAGCAGTCAATAATCATGCTCTTTAAAGTCAATTTTTAAAATGGTTAATAGTTTGTGAGATGGGTCTGTCTCTCATTTCCATATTAAGTGTTCAATGACTGATTGCAGTGGGTTTGTTTGGTAAGAAAGGGCACAGAGTGCAATGACTGACCACACTTGTCATGCCTTTAGCCTTTCCATATTACTTAGCCTTATTTTTTGTTAAATCTTAAATTCTTCATTAATCTTTTGTTGGGAGAGGAGGATTTCGGTCTCTTCTGAATTAATTTGTTTCTCATTTCTTTTCTGTAAACAGTCCTCAGAAGCACACCCAACCCCGGTGGCCAAACCCTGAGGAAAGCTCATTGAGAGAAACCATCCAGTAAGGGGTGGTGTGATCATAGAAGGGTTTGGAAGGGCCAGAGTGTTCCCTTCATGGCAACATGAGGTGAAGCACATGTGGTGAAGATAATAGAATGAACAAGATGAAAAGCTTTGGGAACTAAGAACCAGTACAACATTTAGTAAAGTGACTTGCATAGAGTAAATGCTTAATAAAAGTTTATTGATAGATTGATTGGATAGAGGAACTTTAAGAGGTAACAGGCTGGAATGCTAGACTACATTGCTAAAGCATCATACCCAGATGTTGGGATAGAAAAGAACCTCCTTACCCTTTGGTAGTTATACAGCCTTGTAGGAATAAGTGCCACTCTGGACACTAAACACATTGGATTGAAAAGGGCACTCTTCTGGAGGCATGGAAGCTGGGATCAAATTCTACCTCTGATTCTTAATACTTGTGTGACTTTGACCAAGTCACAACCTCAGACTTCAGTTTCCTTATCTATAAAATTAAGGGCTTTTGCTTCTCTAGTTCTGGGCCTAGGAAGAGCTAGACTATACACAGAAGAGGGTGACCAGAATGGTGAATTGCTGTACAGCATAAAGAACAGTGGGTTTGGAGTCAGATGTCCTGGGTTCAAATTCTGACTCTCCTTCCTATGTGATGTGGGGTAACTTCACCCTTCTTGACTTCAGTTTCCTACCCTATAAACTTAAGAGGTTGAACTAAGTGATCCCGAGGGTCCTTTGCAGCTCTGGCTCTCTGACCTGAGGTCTAGATATCATGACATCAATGAATTCTGAAGGATTTGGGCATATTCAAGATTAACCCGGGGGGGGGGGAGGGAAAAGATGTGAGGAGACAAGAGAGCTCCTTTCAAACACTGGAAGGACCTACATGTGGAAGAGGGGACTTGACTTGTCATTTATTAGGAGCAGAACCCAACTCAATGACTGAAGCTTCCAGAGAGGTATGGATCTCTATAGAAGGTTGGATTCTATAATACTTGGAGCTATTGAGCTGTGGAATGAGCAGCCTGACTTTGGATGCTGCCACTAGAAACATTCAGTAATAAGTTGAGTTGAATGCCTCCCCCGCTCTGGGGCTCTGGTATAAGTTGTGGGGGTAGACAATTGGAGTAGCTTACCTTCAGTGGTCTCTTCTAGCTTCCAGAGATGAGGGGAAAATCCTGTGACTAGAAGACATTGAATCTTCATGAGTGAAGACAAAAGAAGCAGCCAAAGAAGATGGTAGATAGAGACTCTTCGTAGACAATAGGGATGGAGAAGAATGAAGGGAGTTTCTGGCCCAACTGTCAATGGTTAGATTAAGTGGGAAAAGCAAGAGTATCCAAGAAACAGTCAGCAAAAGAGCTAAGGAGTGTGATGGCTGCTTTTGGAACTGGTCAGATAGACATTCAGCTCGAGGTTTGCCATGAGTTCTAACAGTGGCATTTGGGAACTTGTGACTCTGAAATCTTTAGAATTTCTGACCTTTCTCTGTTTTATTTCAGGACCATTGGATATATCCCATGCTCCTTATTGTACCCCCTAGTCACATTCTTTCTTATTTCAATCTGCATTTCCTACTGGATCGTGATTGCAGTGTATCCTTCCATCAATGACACCTCAGAACCTCACCTTCAGAGCCAGTGCCCATGGTTACGTATCCAGTGTCTGCCATGCTAGAACAGCCTAGGAAAGTCTCCAGACAATGAACAGGTTTTGTTTTGCATAAATATTGGCAAGAAGCTATGGAGAGTGGTGGAGAGAGGACTTAATGCTGACCTCAGAGTCAGGAAGATGTGGGTTCAGAACTTGCCTCTGATAGCCAATGGCTGTGTGATTCTGAACAAATGATCTTGCCTCTCAGTACCCTGGGCAGCTCCCTAAGCCTGGAGGTTGCAGAAGAGCCAGTCTTCACTTGTGGAGGGAGCTTCCTACACCAGTGCAACCACAAGTCTGATCCAAAAATAAATTCTAAAAAATAAATATCACATCAATTAATAAGAGATTTGTTACAATGACTGTAGGAAAATCATGGAACCTAGGTCTGAAATGAACATGGAGAGCCCCCAAACACTGGCATCTTGTTGCAAAGCTCTAAGAATAAATATGTCTTCTTTACTAGGTTGCCCTTATATAGAGTCTGTGACAAGTTTATAAGATGTGGTGTTGTTAGCCTAGAAAAAGCCAGCTTTGCTGTACTCTTTTTGAGGAGAGCTACTCAGTATACCTCAAAACCTTCTCTCCTCAGATTTTCTCATTCTTTTTTGAACTCTGGCTTTTTACCTTGTGATGTAATTGTTTGTATAATGCTGTCCTCCTCCCTATTCAAGTAGAATTAAACTCCTCAAAGTCAGGGAATGTAGCATTTTTGTTTATTTATTTTTTGCAGTCCTTGCACCATCCTCAGCACTTTCCACAAGGCAGTATTTAATAAATATTAGTAGAAGGGAACTCAGAGTTATAACTAGGATAGAATGATAAGAGTTTTGCTTCAGAGCACTAAAATTTAGTAGATTTAGATTTAGATAGATGTATAGATTTAGTTAGAAGGTATCTGAGAGTCCATTCAATCCAACCCACTCATTTTAGAAATGAGAAGTCATAGATATATAATGTGACTTGTCCAAGGTCACACAACAAATAAGCATCTCAGGTGGGATTCAAATTCAGATCTTCTTGACTTCAAATTCAGAACTTTATCCACTAATCCCCCTACTCTTTTAGCAGGTAGAAAGAATGAAGCATAGCAGCGTAGCCCATGTCTCCCTCCATGGGATGATGTTATGGAGTAGCTCCTCCCCCAACAAATCCATGTACTTTTGTCATCTGATCTCTGCCTCTCTCTGTCTCTTTGTCTCTGTTCTCTCTTCTCTGTCTCTCTCTCTGTCTCTCTCTCCTCCCTCTCTCCCTCTCTCTCATTTTATTCCTTCAACTGAATTTGTTTTTAAAGCTTAATGTGAAGGTTAATTTATGGGACTTTATGCTAAGCACAGGAATAACTAGTTGTACCTCTGATGAACATTTTAACTTTGTGGTTGAATATGCTCATTTGTGCTATCTAAGGGTCCTTTTCTTCTCTTTCCCCCAGCCCTTTTAGTCAATTAGACATTAGGACCTTCCAGAGTT